GGTATGTAAAGTTCACTTTACAAAAACGACTTTTACTTAAAGTAAAATTATGACTATGATCTAACCCTTAAGCAGTAAACCCCTACTAATAAGCTTAACCCCTAATACATAGCACAAGATTGACTCGCATAAGATCACTCGTAAAGGGTAGTCGGGACACTTCATTAGGTCAAATTAATCTGAGTAATATCCTTTACGTATTTCCCTTGCTCCATTGCTCGAAGATAAGCTACTATCGGTTCTCAGTTCGACTACTAATGCGAGTAGGCCGTTACTACGTTTTTGAATTATAAAAATAAAAAAATATTCCTGTAATTTGCTAGTTTTTAGTGAATATTACATATGAGTATCTTACCGATTTATCGATACTACTAGATAGTGTTCGCTCAGTGGTCGAAATTCAACGAGAATCGTTGTTGAAAATTTGAGAAAACACACATTCACACGCACGCACGCACGCATAAACACACATGAATTAAAACACAACTCTCCTTTTGGGCAGTTGTGAAATAAAGCTTTGTTTTACCGGTTTTAATTTTAATATGTTTTAAAATTTCACCTCATATCTACAGTAATTATGCCTTAACTGATCGGAACGCGCGTTGCTTAATATTATGACATTTTAAATCGTACCACAAAATGTTATCAAAATTACCATCAATACGTAGTGGTACTGATTTTTATGGAGAATGCCTGCTACAATGGAGGATAAACTTAAAGCTTTGATCCCTATACTAATTCTTTAATTTCTTATTTTATGAAATATACAATATCTTTAAAATATAATGCACTTATATGTATTTGTCAAGACTGTACACTAATAGTTTATTTATGTATATTATTTTTGAAAAACATGTAGATAACCCAGTATTCTTCAGAAAATGATATTTTAAATTGTACTGATAGCTCTAGAAGTTAAAAGAAACAAACTGCAGTATTGTACCGTATAGTGTAAATACACATATATATTTGTATTAGTGTTAAACGTTACTTATACACGTTTTATCTTTCCAAATTTTAATGACCATATAGATTGATTTATTTTAAAACCATCATTTACCTAAAAATACAAGACATGAGCCCATAACATCAAATAGAATAAACCTTTGCATACTTGGTAAATTTGACTTATTCTAGATTCATTGAATTTCTTTTCTAATAAAACTTATAAATCAACAATTTTATCAACAATTTTATGAATGCATACCTACTACAAATCAAAGTAGAAAAAGATAGACCAAAAAATTAAGTTTGATCATACATTTAATTTTTATGGTGGTTTTGAATGCAGTACGATACGAAGGTATGTATGTACGAGTATGTGTGTATAATTTTTGTTAGTTTTCGGTGGAATTTAAGTCACAGATAGACTATGGCCTAAAGTAGCCCATAGGAGCTTATGGAAACGCAAAGTAGGGTTAAGTCGCTAGTATAAATATAAATGGAGAAACTTGACATCAATGGTAGGGTATTACTGCCAATAATACAAATGGGTAAGGAGGCACGCTATCTTATCGGTCGAAGGCTCGTGAAGGATTTTTTACTGTCGTGACTCCGAATAGAAGATTTTATTTGTTTTTTTATTTTTTTGCTTACGTTAGATTTCTCTTGAAACATATTTAAAAATTTAAAAAAAAAATTTAGTATTGAACATTTTTGTTGATAATTGAAACTATTTGAATGTATTTATACTTATTACGAGTATACACAATGAATAATAAATATCGTGAGAGTAGGTATCTAATAATATACATCTTGTAATTTTATACATACATATATTTAAATGATGTAAATTACTTTTCTTTTATATCTACACATATAATAAAATTGTAACTAAGCTGAATCTGTACATCAAATATTTTTTGGAATATATTTGTTACGTAATCTTAATTTAGTATAAAATAACTATACTAGCTTTACAACAAAAAAAAACAAGAAATTCATATTCGTGGGGTTCACAAATTAGCCTACAATATTTTAACATATGAATATCTAATAGGTAAATATGTATTTTACGTATCGAAATATATTAGATCTACTTTGCATCGGCTGGCACCGACTTCGAAAATATCTGATTAGGTATCTATTCTAAATGAAAACCTCCGATTAGTTATTTTTTACATTTTAGTGCCTGGAAGTCGGTTTTTATTTTTTGTTAAAAAGTTTTTGAGTGTTTGTTTACTTCAAACATGGTAAAGAGACTAATGCTTTTGAGGTCTTAAAAGTTATTATAATTACAGTTGTCCCACGATATTATATATAATTTGGCATTGAATTGTAATTTTTTGTGACATAATCCAAAAAAATAGTTTTTTTTTTAATATTAGAAAGTATGTGTACAGAAAACTCTAACTAATCACATCGTTACATATTGGTCCTGCAAAGCCAGCTAGCTATATACTGCTTCAATTATAATATTGTTCTATTCAATCTGGAACTAAGCCATTAAGTCACTTGAGTGGTTGCCGGATTGACTTACATCGGCTTACGTGTCTAATGTCGCATTACATGTACTAACCACCCGTGATTGGGTTTCAAGGTATTTGTGTATTTTGGAAGTTTAGTACTTTGACGAAATCTTATTAATTTTTGTTTTTTTAATTTGATTATTGATGTTTTCTTTTCTGGGATTCGCTGACATAAAGAAATATTTTACGACTATTTAACCGTCCTCGCTTCTTACAGGAATTCGATGTCTATTCACCTTGTCGCGATATTGGGGGAAGGGGAGGGGAGGGGGCGGGGGAGGGTCTCATTAGCATCCGGCAATTCACCTGGGCGTGAAGCCAAGAGTCACACTGGAAAGAGGTCCACTTCCACTCACCGAAGTTGAAGTTGTGGTTGCGGTTGCTCCTGGTACTTTTCTGGTAGCAGTGTAGACCATTGGAGCAACCCCATGGTTATTGTGGTCTGCTTGTGCAAACCTGCCATCGGTTTATTTAAAATGTCTGTCAAATATTCGCTTAAATCAAAGGAAGTATTAATTAAGCTCAGTTTAACACCTCCAGGTAAATTTCTAAGAAATTAATTAAAATTCTAAGAAATCTATTGTTAACTGACAGGCCGGCGTGTCCGCGGTTGTGGATGGATTATATTACAAATTATATTAGTCTCATATATTTTTCTATAGCCTAATCGTTTGTAGAAATCCTCTTGTCTGTTTATAAATCACAGGCAGAAAAAAATATTTATAGACATATACGTGACCGCATTACAGAACTTAATTGTATTATAAGTAGGTAGGTATATTCATATTTCCCTCAAAAGCCCTTAAAATATTTAATACAGCAATACACTTGTGAAAGTGCAAATATTTAACGGTTGACCCACTTCTGTGATAGGGCCTTTCGGGAATTTAGGTTTACATTTTATAATTACGTTACGAGTATATATGCCTCTCATTTTATATAACGAGAGCTAAATCAAAAGTAGTTTGATTAAGGTTTCGATATAATAATGATATATTTTCATATACTAGTATTTGCCCACGGCTCTGCCTTTGTATTTAGTGTTTATTTAAATAACTTTACATAGACTATGCATCATTAGGAATAATGTCATTAGTCGCTTGTCGAGGCAATAATAATTACTCACTAAATTAAACGACCTTTAATCATAAATTTAACATATTTTACAACTTTTTTTTATTGTATCTTAAAAAAGAATTCTAGATCTATATTTTAATTTAATGTAAATAATATTTTACTTACCGACTTAGAAAAATGTCGTAGTGTGATTACTTAATGAAAAATCTGTGAAATGTCGATTTGTTCCGAATCGATGTAGTAGTTTCAAAGATTAGCGCATTTTAACAAAAAAATATACTTGAGCCTTATATATAAAATGTATCCATTTTTGTAACTATCTCCTGCCTGCGGTTCTATTTGCATGAACTTATTTAATGTATTGCCACTTAATGACCTCCGGCTTAAATGAATATTTCTACGAAATGGAAGATGCTCAAGGTTCGTTATGAAGACATATCTAAATAATATATGTATCCATACTAATATTATAAATGTGAAAGTGTGTTTGTTTGTTTGTCCTTCTTTTACGTCAAAACGGAGTGACGGAATGGCGTGATTTTTTGTGTGGAAATATTAGAAGGCTGGAGAATGACATAGGCTACTTTTTACCGCGGGAGATCATGTAATTCCCACGGGAAAATACGTTGTAATACAATACAAAAAGATATTTATGGTCAGTGTTATTTGAATCTTGGTATTAATACTCTTCAATAATATTAAATAAATACGTTTTTTGGTATTTTTCGAAGTTCATCCTCTAAGGGGGTAAAATAGGGGATGAAAGTTTGTATGAAACTACCTTTTTAGATATTTTTTTTGTAGTTTTAGCGCGAGCGAAGCCGCGGATTCTACTAGTAATGTATATAAATCACAACGTTACAGCCATAGTTGTGGTAATCACTGGATGCAAAAGGCTCGACAAAGACATGTTTGGAAAGGTTTGGGAGGGGGCCTACGCTGCATTTTATATAACATATAAATATAGATAGATAAATATAGATTTACAAAAGTTAGTACATATAAAGTTAGATAGACATATAGATAGTCATATAGATTTATATAGATAAGTAAACTCGTTTGTAAATACACATACAGAAAGACCCAAAGATTTGTGATAGTAGTTATGTTTAAAGAAAGAGAAATGTTAACAAAAGAAGTAAGTTAATAAAGGTTATTTTTATTTAATAATATAAATCAGAAACCATTATTTTTTTTCACGACAAGATATAAAATAATATACATAAAAAATCATGTTCTGTACCCTATGCCCTACTTGCAAGTGACTCTGACTAACTTAAAAAAAAGGAGGTTTTAATTCGGTTTACACTATATCTTCGCCAATTGAGAAGCAATTTTCATTTTTTTTATCTTTTATGTATAGCGTATACATCAAGGGTAATTTCATAATAAATATTATAAGAAATTCATACACTAAGGACAAATTTTTCTTAGTCATAAAATACTTTATTATTAAAGACATCCCAAATAAGATTTTTTACAACATTTCCTACAACATGGATACTTTGTGTTTCTAGATGGTTCAGTTCTTCTTGGTTTATCATCCTTTTTGTTATTTTTGTCATTATTATTCGTGCAATTATTAGGACCTTCTTCAAAATCAGTATCAGAAATCTTTTTCTTGCAGTTTAGTCTCTTGACACTATAAACAATTTCTTTATTCTTATTGCCTTTATAACCAAATTCTGGGCATTTCTCGTAAACTCCAGACATTAACATTTTATGCTTCTTCTTTAACTTATATTGCTTCAGTCGGTCTTTTTCTTTTTCCCTTTCTAGTATCCATTGTTCTAATTGTTTTTGCATTTTTCGTCTATTTTCCAGAGTTTCTCTCCTTTCGGTTACTGAAACCTTTTTAGGTTTCAAAACAGCTTCAAAATCAATTATATCTTTGTGTGGCGTTCGATTTGTATAAAATTTGGATGGATTGAATATTTTTTTAAGCTTCCTTCTATTTTCCAGATCATCCGCAAACCTTTTATCCTTAACTGTATGATTTATATTCGTAGCAGTTACATTAACTCGTATCATATGTTCTTTCAAATCTTTCATATATTTGAGGCCTATTAAAGAGTCACTATCGTTGGCTTTCTGCAGAGATTTTACACTGTCACCTATAGCTTCATTGATTTGCTTAAAAAGATCATTCTTTTCTTTTTCGAGCTCTTCTATACCTTTATAGCTTTTTTGCTCAGTAGCAATAACAATTTCACTAATAAAATATATAGCAATCGTACTTAATAACATTTTTGTGTATTGGTTAAAAATAAAACATATTTGAATAAAAATACATGAGCAATATTTATAATCTTACACATAAAAAGAACATAAAATATTTCGTGATAAAGTGGAAATAGCTGCACTAAAGATTTATACGACTGGAAATTTTATATGAAAATAGTTTATATAATATTCATTTGAAATATCAACTTTATATAGTTTGGTTACAGTTTACGCTTTCATATTTTGAGTGAAATTTAAAGCCAAGAATTTATAATTTAAATGTATTTATTATATTTCTTTATTTATTTTTTACTAATAACATGCGACAATTAGGTATCTCTAACTTTTATCAATATATGTAAGTACAATGTAGTACTTACATAAGGAGAGCCTATAGTAGCTTAGCTTAGTGGTGGCGCTCAATTAGAAACCCGAGTGAAACGGGTTCAAATCTAGGGTCTCGCACCTCTCATATTCTCATGTGTGAATCATCAACGTAACTACCACTTGCCTTACTATAAAGAAAAACATTGTAATAAAATCTGCATGTCTGAGAGAACTTAGCAAATTCTCGAAAAATATGTTAAGTCCGCCAAATGGCTTGGCCAGCGAGGTGTTCGGTGTCCTAGATACTTTGGATTGGCTAAACACAATACAATCTATGTTATGTAATATAACACGATAAATATGTAGGGAGCTAAAAGAATCCTAACACATAAACCTCTCTGGCTCATGAACTGACAACATCTATGTAGATATTGTCAGTTCATGAGTATGAGAATATATGTATATTCTCAGCAGAACTGCCTTCCGAGTCGGTGGTAGATTCCTCACGGATTGACCACACTAACATTTAATTTAATATAAATTTAAAATGTAAAATTTACGATTCAAAAGAGCTTGTAAAAGTCTATTTGAATAAAGTATATTTTGATTAGATTTAATTAAAAATTAAAATCGGCTGCTTTGTTGAATTTGTGTTTGGTTGAGCAGATCTCAAAAACTACTGAACGGATTTTCATATATTTTTATTAATGAAAAGAAGAATTATCTAGAAAAGTTACAGGCCATAACTTATGGACATTAAGCGAGTATAACCTACCACTATAATAATATACATATTATTTGAATTAAGTCGAAAAAATGTTATTTGTGAGAGTTAAATTAATATTATAAATCCTAGAAGAATCAGAAGTGGTCCACTAAAAAAATTATAATATTTGTTATAAAACATAACAGCTGCATATCAACTAGTCAACTTTACCTCAGACATTTCGCATTCATATCCATAAAGGCCTATACCACATACTTAAAAAGGATAATATAATTTAAAATTTAAAAACATAATATTTATCTAGCCCAAAAACGTGAATATTTTACGTTTCTGCAGAACATCAGATATAACAGTCCCTTTTTTAATTCCAGGCATCATAAACAGGGTCGGATGTAGCATTAAACTAATCAGAATCACTTCGCTCGGGAGTGTTTTTTATATTTTTATCTCTAACGACTGTCTTTTGAGCTCTACCATTTGTTTCGTTATTGTAACGTATTTTTCAGTCTGTATAAAAGATAGGTTTTCTGTGATTTCGAGTTGTCTTATAAATCTGAAAATTCGAGTTATCTTAACCTTTCTTGATCAAAGTTATGTTATTTCTAGTCATGATTATAAAATAATAAATAGATAGTAATTAGTTAATCATTTCATACTAAAATGTTGTTGTTTCCATGTTTATATAAAAAAAAATTGGTAATATGCACAATTCAAGAAACAAAAGAACTTCGTATTCTGAGATTTTCATGTGCGAATCTCATTTTAGAAATGATTTCTACTAATATATTGAAGAAATAATTCTCAGGAATTCTGCATATCTAAAAGAACTGAACTAGATCTCTAAAGACGTGAACGACAACCTGTAATTGGCCAGCAAGGTGGCCTATGGTCTAAAAAAACTTGGGTATTATTATTATTGGTAATATTTACCTTTAATTGATTTATTTTCATTTAAAGGATAACTACGCATTAAATGTTTATGAAATACGTAAGTGAAAAAAAAAACAAAAATGTAAGTTGCTATCATTAGCTTATATTATTATTAAAGTTTTTTTCTACGATACAAAGTCATTTTAATTCCGTTTCCAAATCTCAGACCCATAGTAGTGGCAGCGAGAGCCATTACATTGATGACCGCGCTTATCAGCACCAAGCCTTAATGCCTGTCCTTTACTTCATGCTATTGTCGATGTTTCAATCAGCGGAAAGATCGCGCTTTGTTAATTAGTGGATGGACTTAGTGTCTACTTTACAACAAGATCTTACAAGAAGATCTAATAGTTTTTCTCGGTTTTTGTTCTAGTTTTAGTATATTTCTTAGTATTAGATGTTCTTTTAATTATTTTTTTATTAAAAAAATATTTCGTTGGTTCTTAAAGAAGGGGTGAGTCTAAAGTATTATAGTTTAGTACTAAAGTACCGTAAGTAAGTAACTGCTATTAATAATAAGAAAATGTTTTATTTATACTTAGAATGCTCAGTTCTCTCATATGAATTGTTATTTCTGAGATTACTACTGATTATACATAACAGCGTTATGTATTATGATCATAATTTTTTTTGACATTATAATTAATAATCGTGTTTATTTAAAATAATTATTATAAATAAATCGTGCAAAAAATTAAAATCATTAAAATTAAAAAAAAAACACTTTGATTTTGAACAAATCTTCTAAGTATGTATATGGGGTTTAAATGAGTGTTAACAAAAAAGTAAGTAACAGAAAAAACCGTGCTAGAAGAAGAACAAGAAGAAGCAGTCTTGATGAGATGGTTATACTAATAACCAATGATAAGTTCCACTATCCACCTACTATCTTCATCATCAGATCATTTCGATGGTATCGCATTGTAAAAAAAATCAAAATTACAAATAGAATAAAATGAACTTCCAATTTGATTACAAGATTACAAATTTATCTCCTTCTTTGCTAATTCATTTACTTTCCATAATTCTCGATTTTTTCATTTGCCCAATTAATATAAGCATTGATCACTTTTAATTAATTTTCTTTCTTGATAAGCTCCAATAATTCTTTTAAAGCCCTCGTCCTTCATAAATATTATTTTCGGTACATTTTAAGAATTATTCTGATTAATACGAACGTATTTACTGACTTGGAAATTAAATTGTAATGAATATACATCCGTGTTAATTGATAGTACTCATATTCGGTCAGTTGTCGAAATTTGACCATAATCATTATTAATAATTTGAGGAAAATATATATACAATAAAACCTGTGTGTCTGCAAATTTTTTATTGTTAGCTAAAGCTCGCCAATAGTTACTAAACAAAAAAAATGGTTGACAAACAAAAATGAGGAGAAAAAGGTACTGACTGCTTTGTCTTAGCCTATTTATAATATGTATATATGTATTTAAATGACTCGCCCTAATTTTGGTACTTATTATTATAGAAATATTATGAACAATAATTTTAATTTTAAAGTCAATAAATTAAACATTGTAGAGAATAAATATTTGTTTTTTCTTTTCATGTAGCAAATTATGTTACTAAATCATAATAAAAATTTAATGTCTCATGCTACGGAACTCTTGGTGAGCGATTCGGACTCGCACTTGCTTGATTCTTTGCCTATATTTTCGAAAGTATAAAAACCATTTTGATTCTTGTGCCATATAAATAACATTTTGAATATTTATATTAAAATCACAGGAAAAAGTATTATTAGTTTAATTACTTTAACCACTCTAATTTTTGTACTAAAACACTAACATATTATAAGGGTAAATAGCATGAAACTGTAAAAGTTTAGCATATTTATATTTCAAGGAAAGCCAAAAGGGTGTTCCAAACAACTTATCGCATACTCTTACTTATTTACTTAGTGTTTAAAATATATTTTCTAGGGCATGTAAAAAATCTTTTATATTTGCGAGCTTAAGAATATGGCTTTGAAACTTTATGCAGCGCTTCGTTAGGAAATTTTATTCTTAAAATCCTAAGAATCTTAAGAAGTGAAGTATGGCCATTAAAGCTAGTAATAAATAAAATTTCCTTTTTTTTCGATATCTGAACCATTCACTAGTTACCTATAACTACTTATCCACTTCATTAGTATATGTCCCTAGGTGTCTAACATTTTTTGCTATTTTCAGAAAAAATAGACTTACATTTTTACCAACTGAATCTTATTATTAAGCTTCCGCTGTACGTCCGTCTGTCCGCCCGTCTGTCTTTACCAGGGGACTGTATCTCTAGAACCGTTATAGGTAATATGTATTTCTATTGCCGCTATAACAGTATAATAAAAAAAATACAAAAAAAATACAAGACACTTTTTTTAACGTTCGTGATCGATCATCGAAGTTAACATACTCATATACTAAGTAAAAATCATATCAATAAAAAGTATAATACTTTCTTAGATTTACGCGAATGTTTGACATTATTAAATAAAACTATCTTTTCGGATTATTTCGCGGATTTATTTTGATACGATGATAAGAAACTCTTCATGTACGATTTCGACTCGCACTTGACCTATTGTATAAGTAACAATTTAAAATTTTATATCTCTAACAAAAGAATAATGTTTTAAAAAGAAATTTACATTCATTTTTTTCTTAAGTAAAAACTAAATATATCAACAAAAATTAAAGCGTGTAATATAATTAAAAAACACAAATAAATTATACTTTTTTACATTATTATTAGAATTAATGTTTAACTTTTCTTTATAAATTTTCGGCTTTCATTCCTCTGAGCTTTTCACGTGCGATCCATTCTCAACCTGATTACCACTTGTTGATATAGTGAAAGAAAAACATGATCAGAAACCTGCACATCAGGTGTAACATAACTAGCTTTCGACTGCTAAAAGACATGTATGACTTGATTTGATAAGAGTCATGCAGTATTCCCTAATTCACTCTCGAATTCAGTTATTACTTTTGTTCACTAGCAACTTACCTTTGCTATGTTTGCTTTTGTTCTGCCTTGT